CTCGCACGAGGAGGGCAGCTGGAGGCGTCAGGACCGCGCCCAGGGCAGGGCCTTCCTCCTGCAGGGGCGGCGTCCACCCGGGCTTCCGAAAAAGGAAGCGAACAAGCGGCTGCCGTCCTCGGGCCTCACGTCCCTGCTGACCTCCGTCTGCTTTTCAAGTTTTCACTGTTTTGGTTTCCGGATGATCCGGCTAGGGGAGGGGTGCAGTTTTCAGGACCCTGGAATCGGCGGGCAGCGGAAAGACCAGAAAAAAGAACCTCGGAAAGCCGACGTCTTGGGTCACCTTTGCCGGGGCTCTCTTATCTTGGGCAAGTATGACCCTCTTGGGCTCAGTTTCCCCATCCGTGAAATGTGAGCCAAAGTCTGGCCTTTCTGATTCACTGGATTTTCCACTACTTCAGTTAAGGACACCGATCTTTCTGGTAGATTGCTATTATCTGTTTCTCAGCTTTTAAGTAAGGAGCTACATACAAATCCCAGGTGAAAGAAGTTGTTTGGAAGAACAAACCTCAGAAAACCAGAGTCCAGAGCTCTTCCCATTTTTAGCACCTTGTCTAGGAGGCAGGAATGCTCTGCCTTCCCCTGCGAGGCGGGGCTGAGCCCTGGGGAACGAACGTAACTGAACCGTCATAGCTTGCAACCCATCCTGAGCGCGTTGTGTGTCTACTAAACATTTTCGTATCTCCTTGTTCAACACGTTCCCAGGCTGGTACCCACAGCCCCTTTGTGAAGAACAATTACTGAAGCACGATCTGTGAATTGGCGCGTCTTGGTGAGAAAGAACCCTTCTTTATTGTAGTTCTGGGCGCTAGAGGGCCAGGAGGCGGCAGTAGAAGCGGGCGGACCGGTGCGCTGGCCTTGGTGCTGAAGGTGGAGGCTGTGCCTCTGGAGCGACCTCGGTCAACCCCGGACCATCTGCAGAGGAAATTTCCCCAGCCTCTCTGGCCACCTGCCCTGGGTGAATCTCTCCCGCTCCTCCCCTCCCCTCTCCAAGTGAGAAATACCTGCCGAAGCGTTCTGCCCGGACGACGGCCTTTCTCTCTGGGGTAAGATGCAATCTCAGTTGTTTTAGCTTGCATTTATCGAACAGGCAGTGATGTCGAGCATTTCTCCATGTATTTATCAGCCATCTGTACATCTTCCGTTTTAGCTTGGCCATTTTTTAGTGGGTCTTTTATAGTAAGGGGTCTTTTTTCTTTATTTCTCTAGATATGAGCCCTCTGTCTGAGGAATTGGTGGCAAAAAAATCATTCCCATTCTTCAGGTTGTCTTTTCACTCTGTTGATTGTTTCTTTTGCTATGCAGGAGACTTTTAATTTGACATGATCCCATTTGTTGATTTTTTGGAACTATTTCCTGTGTGACACCATCATTAAGAAATCATAAATATGAAGAGGCTTCAGGAAAAGAATGCTTCTGTATTGTTGGGGGGAAGTTAGCTAGTTATAACCACTGTGGAAATCGGTATGGAGGTGCCAGTAACCCTTTCCAGGTGAGACTGAAGAAGCCAATGCTCAGCCTTCTGATGACAACATTTAATGCCTAAGAATGGCTGAAGTGTAGCAATTCCAGGCTAAGCGACAGCCCGAGTGAAGGCACGACTTGGGGTAACTGCCTCTCCCATTACATCCTGTAAATGCCGCATCTTCAAAATACACCCAGAAGTCAATATTCTGAATATTTTCCTCCTCTTTCTCTTCCTCAATTCTGTCACCACTGGGGGAGACGAGGGGACCTCAGGAGAAAAGGCAGTGCTTCCTAGATTTGCTATGTGCAGTGCATGGAAGATCTCTACTGAACCCTTGTCATGGGAGAGTTGGTGTGCTCACGATGTCCCTTCAAAGCAGGCATTCATAATTCCATTTTACAACAAAGACTCGAAAACTTTGAATCATGTAGAGATGCACTGGTTACTTGGAAGCTTTTTAATTCCTTAGAGACTCTTACTAGGTGACCTAAATATACCTGTTTTTGGTTATCCAGAAACAACCAACAGGAGATGGCTGGATAACAGACAGATGGGTGCATGGATGGATGGACAGATAGATAAATAGACCAACAAATGGTGATATAGTGGTGGTTCTGGCTCCTATGGTTATAGAGACTGAAAAGTCCCATGCAGGATCCATGCAGGCCAAAGACCCCAGGACATCAGCATGACTCGGTGCAGGTTTGAAGGTCTTAGAACCAAGGAAGTCGGTGGAGAACTCTCGGTCCAGGACTTAGGCTGGGAACCGAGGCCTCTGGTGTGGAGTCCTGGAGTTCAAAGTCCAGGGAACCTAGTATTCTGATGTCTAAGAACCGGCAAAGGAGGGTGTGGCGTTCCCAGCGTTTTTTTCTGTATTTGTTCTCTCTGCACCCCATCTCCATTGGATGGTGCCTACTCACATTGGGAGCAGATCTTCACTCAGTACATTGACTCATGCATTAATTTCCTCACAGACACACTTTAAGTAATGCTATTGGGTCTCCATTGTTCCTTACTTCAGTTAACATAACACCCAGGAACAGTGTAACAATTCCAGCAGCAGTATCACACCCAGTAACATTGTAACATCCAAGCTATGCATTTTGGAGCAAAAGGGCACAAAGAGGCACAGACTATTTTAGCGGATCCTTGGTCCGGAGCAACAGTTTGAGAAGAGCTGTACTCCGTGGACTAGCCCAACTGGCCTGGTTCTGCCAAGAGCTATTCCCCTCAGATCAAGGGCAGACCTGTCTGAACTAGCTTTTCTTTCTTTCTCTAAACTTTCTTTCCTTTTCTTTTCTTTTTCCAACACTGGGGGTTAAATTCAAGGCCATCACACTGCGCTATCCCCAGCCCTTTTTCCTTCCTTCTTTCTCTCCCTTTGTCTCTCTCGCTCTTGCTCTCACTCTTTCTTCCTTTCTTCCTTTTACTTTGAGACCAGATCTTGCTAAGTTTTGAAGTTGTCCAGGCTGGGCTAGAATTTGTAATCTTTGTGCCTCATTACACAAAAACATTACAGGCATGCAAGGTAGTGCATATCTAAGGAAATCATTTGACATGTAGAAAAGACCTACAAAAAAGTTCTGCCATGATGCTATTTACAAATTGAAAAAGAATAACCTATATGCTGTTTAAGTGGTCATTAAAATAACCCATCAAGCACGGTTACGCATGCCTGTAGTCTCAGCTACTGAGGAGATCAAGGCAGAAAGATTGCTTAAGTTTTTGAATTCAGAACTATCCTGGGCAATGTAGTGAGACCTAGCCTCAAAGGAAACTCATGCAGAAGGCTTGAAATAACTTTGAAGATGCTTAAAATCCATCATAGAAAAATGTCTGCCAGTATTTGGCTTTGGGAGAAAGAATTAGACGTAAATTTCCTCCACTTTTCTACTTTTTTCAAATATTCTCTGCGCTCATGAAGATAATTTATGATGGAAAATCATAAAATAAAACTTTAAATATAAGGAATTTGTTTGTAGGGCAACAGACCTAAATAACAATTTTTTTTAATTTTAAAATTGTGAAATATAAAAATGTGTAAAATACACAACTCAGGGATTTATCACAACAGCACCAAAGGAAAAACAAAATACAAAACCCAGTCACAGCCAGAGCTCAGACAAAAATGTTGTCTGCTAAGTCTAAAAGCTTAAACATTACACTATCATCTACTTTTTGAGCTTTATGTACATGGAATCATAGAACATTCTGCTTTTCTACCCCCTCCTTAATTCAACACCATAAACCCACAGAACTGAAAGACACTCAGAAGCAACAGTTTGGCAAAAGACAGGCAGAGTTTAACTGTGAACGTGGACTACACCCATGCTGTTACACACGGCAAAGCTCGTTCACTGCACGGTACGAACACACCGCCGTCTCAGAAGTTTCCGGTCTGGCTGGCAGTGAATACTCCAGGGCGTGAGCGCAGACATTCTGGGGCGGAGCGTAGGACTGACCCTCCTGGGCCCAGGCTGTGCTTATCTTGAACTTAGTAGACTTATGCCAAACTCTTTCCCACAGTGATCCTGGACGTTTCCACTCCCACGAGCAGGAATCTTGTGCTTAACTCTGCTTAGTGTGAGTGCATACGGCCCATGGAAGGAGAGTCCAGGGGATTTGCTTTCAGCCTTTTCTTCGCAGGGACAGCCTGGGGGAGTCTGTCAGGCTGTGGGATCACTGCTCATGGTGCAGGCTGCCCTCGAAGTGAATCCTCCAGTGTGGTGAGGACCCACCACCCACGGACCGGAAAGACACTCAGAAAGAACAGGCGGTCAGAGAGCCTGAGGCATCAAGTTCCAGCTGTCATGGCTCGACAAAGGTGAAACAGCTCTCTGTAATTCTTGAGCTAGGGCCTTCAGGAAGCTGTAGGGGCTCTGCTGGGTACAGATTGAATATTCCACTATGAAAATCCAGAGTGCTTCGGAATCTGAAATTTTCTGAATGTCGGCATTGGTGCCACAGGTGGAAAATTCCGCACCTCACCTCCCGTGGTCACGGCCACAATGCAGGTGCACTAAACATGCTGGGTGACATCACCTGCAGCCTATGTGTCCCAGGTACAGTATACATAAAACACGAAGGTTCAGACTTGGGTCCCAGTCCTCAGACATCTCACTATGTGTACACAAAGACTCCTAAATCCAAAATACATCCAAAAGGCAGATTCTTCCAGTCCCAAGCCTTTCAGGTAATGGTTACTCAATCTCTATTTTAAATACTAAAAACACAGAGGAATCAAACATTTACTTCAGATGGACTGCGCAGAATTTCTGAAGTTTCCTGGCTTTGTTTTTGCCTGGAATTCTGTGCATTTCTGGTGAGAACCCTGGCTACTTCACCCTAGTCACCAGCTTTGGCTGGAAGCCATGTGTATCTCTATCTATAAAAACTTGGAAATTTAGTTTGAAATTGACACGTGTGGTCGTGAAAGGCTGGAAGCACTGAAGGGTTATCGGGCAGAACACAAGTCCTCCTGTCCACCCCTAAAATGCTCACAACCACCTGCTCCATACTGACTTCTAGACCATTCTGTGCTTCCGGGGTGGGGGTTGACGCTGAAGTTCCACACAGGATTTTACCCCTGTTTTTAAAAACGGGTAAAGTGCTCAGCGGAATCTGGCAAACCTGCTACCTGGGTTAAAAGCAAGGTCACGGAAACAGTTTATGCTAGCTTTTTAGGAATACATCTCAGAAGGCAGGATGGATACAGCAGATGATAGGAAACAAGACTCTGTTCACTGGTGGCTTAAAACACCACCTTTCAGTTCTGTAGATCAAACATCCAGCACAGGACTCACTAGACCAAGATCCAGGCATCCGCAGGGCTGCGATCTTCTCTGGAGGTGCCAGGGGTGGTCCTACTTGAGCAGGCTGCGACTCCACTGTGGTTTGAAAGTTAGTGGCAGCCGAATTTGCTGCAACTTAATTCCCAATGGGATGGGGTTAGGAGACACTTGAGGAAGTGATTTTTGTCATGAGGGTGAGGCCCTTTGTAATGGGATTAGTGCCCACTGAACAGATGTTTCCTCCTCCCCCATGTAAGACCCAGCATTGGCCCCTTCCCTTCTACCAATGAGGATGAGCAAGACAATGCCATCTCGGAAAGAAAACAAGTCTCAAGTCCACTGGTGCCTTGAGCTCGGACTTCCTGGTCGCTGAAACTGAGAAATGTTAATTATACTGGTCAATTGCCCCATCTTCAGTGTTTTGCTGCAACAGCAAGAGCAGATGAACAGACCCTCCATCTTCAAAGCTAGTGACAGTAAATCTCTCTGACCATTTCCCCCCAGTTATACCTCCTCCTCTTCCCTCTTCCACTTTGGAGGATGCTGTGGTTGCTTTGGAGAGTTTCTATCTGGAGGTCAGGTGATTAGCAACTTGAATTTCACCTCGGACCTAGAAGGTACACATGCTCCAGAGAGTCGGGTGTGGATAAATTTGGGGGGTCATTATTCTGCCTACCCAGGCTCTGGGTTGCAAAACAGCTGGCTGGTGAGCCATGAGGCTGCACAAAGAGGGAGAGACTGTGGGTGCAAGGGAGAAACACAGCAGGCCAAGTGCTTTCTCCCAGCAAGGCAGGAGGCGTGGTTACATTTCTGTCTGGAACGCGGCCTCCCCGGGTTTCCTGAAGAGCCTGTCATCCTCCAGTTTCAGACGGCAGCCTGTCTAGTTCCAGAGACACTGATCTATGGAGTGCTGCTCAGTGGTGGATTTGAGCCCCTCTCCCCTTGCTTCTCCTCCTGTCGGGCTGGTGCTCACGGCTGTGGAGGTGCCTGGCCCAAAGGTGAGGAGCCTGACCGACCGGTGTCTGCTGTCCTCAAAGTCTGCCTCTCCCTCATTATCGCTGGGAGCTGAGCTCTAGCAAGAAATATGCAGTTTAAACCAATTTCTAACGTGTGGTCCTCTCTGAGCAACACCTGTAAGACGCTTTATCTGCCTTACTGAAACACGATCTCCCATATTTAGGTTTATCTTCTAACACAAAAATTCACGCCAGAAAATTCTTCAGTTTGTCAGTAAACCTTTTCTGTCTTGAGAATTTGACTTGCACCCTCCTTTCTGTGAGTTAGAAGTGTTTAAACAATTTGATTTAAATTAAAGGAGTAATTATTGAATTATTATTTAAATAACAACTGTTTTCTTTCTGACAGGGGCCTCAACGTAAAAATAAAAATTGAGTCAGAACCATAGTAACCCTTCCCAAGGCTCAAATTTTTCTTTCCGTCTTCAGGTTATTTTTTAGTGAGAAATGCAGAGCAGGGCAGAGAGTACAGGTGACGTCACAGCAGCTCCGAGGACCAGAGGCTGCCCCGGTGAGGGGGAGACGTGCCGGGAGGTGTTCAGAAACTGCTCCTTTCACTGTTTTACTTTTCTTCTTTGCACACCCATTTGGTCCCAGCCCCCCAGCCCACTCCTTTCCTGGTGTGCTCCCGGCTGGGCCGTGCAGCCACCCAGACAGGTCCCCATGCCGGGCCGTAGCTCCCAGGCAGCTGACCCCAAAGCCTGAGGACAGACAGACACAGCCAGTGTGGACCCTGCCAGGGACTGCTGTCACCACGTTTATTTCTCCAACCACTGTATTCCCAGCTTGCTGTCTCTGCTCCTCAGGGCCCTGCGTGTGGATGCTCCCCCCCCACCCCCAGGCCACGGGAAGGAAGTAAAATCTCAAAAGGTCCAATTCAGCACCCTGTGCTCTCCCACCGTCCTCTGAGCCCAGGGTAGTGTGGGTTCTCAGGGTGCGGCAGCTGCATCCTCCATGGAGCTGTGACGTGGCCCCTTGGTTTCGTCCCGCGGTTCAGCTGCTGATGACCTGTGAACTCACATCCGGCCCACACACGCGTTCCACAGCATTTACCATGTCCCTCATCACTGTCCCCCAAAGAACCCCCGTCCTTAGCTGTCACTCCCGGCTTCTCTCCTACCAGCTCCAGAAGCCACTAACCTACTTTCTATGCCCACAGGTTTGTCTGTCCTGGAGACTTCATGCAGCTGGCCTCACACAGCCGGAAGGAAGTGGCTTCTTCCCCTCGGCTGGCACAGGACACCTGTCGACCATTACTCATTTCCTGCCACAGAACCTCCCACTGTGCGTGGGGACCACGGAAGCTGGCGGACGTCCAGGTTTTTTCCACATTCCAGCAGTGGAGGCCACTTTGCTAGGAACACGGCGCAGGTCTTCGTGTGAGCATACGTTTTGTTTGGGGCCTACGCCGCGGACTGGCACGCGTGCGTACGCCTGTGCCGGCCGTGTGGGGAACGGCCACTCTGCCGTCGCCATGGCATTTGTCCTCCCACTGGCAGTGCCACCTTTCCGGTGCCTCCACACCCTCACCAACACGAGGCTGGTGTCTGAAGTTTTACAGCTGTCGGGAGTGCGAGGTGCGACCTCACCACGTTTTGATTTGCACCTCCTCGGAGGCTCGGGATGGCCAGCCCCTCTCCTGTGCTCACCGGCCATGCGCAAGGTGATCGAGAGAAATGTCTGTTCAGTTTGCCCCTTTGAAAACGGGATTGTCTCCTTAGAACAAAGATTTTCTCCTGTTTTCGTGGGCGGTCTTCGCTGTTTCCTAATAAGAACCTTTGAAACAAATGCTTTAAGGTGTGTGATGCCCAAGTTCTTTCTTCTCTTGTCACATGTGCTTTGGTGTCACCCTGAGGAGCCTTTCCTGGGGTTGTGAGTTGTCTGGAGCCCTCTGCCCCTTGATTAGATTTTCTCTCCTCCACCCCGCAGCCCCCTCCAGTGTGCTGAGCAGGCAGCGTCTGTCTGTCCTGTGGACATGGCGCGAACAGCAGGACCAAGGACACAGGCCTCCCTCCCCGGCAGTTAAATGACACCACGGGACCAGGGTCCCCATGCCCAAGTTTTCTTCTCTTGTCACATGTGCTTTGGTGTCACCCTGAGGAGCCTTTCCTGGGGTTGTGAGTTGTCTGGAGCCCTCTGCCCCCTGATTAGATTTTCTCTCCTCCACCCCGCAGCCCCCTCCAGTGTGCTGAGCAGGCAGCGTCTGTCTGTCCTGTGGACATGGCGCGAACAGCAGGACCAAGGACACAGGCCTCCCTCCCCGGCAGTTAAATGACACCACGGGACCAGGGTCCCCAGAGGTGGGGCGCAGGGCCATGCAGCCCCTCTGGCCTCAGCCTGAAGCCTGGACCCGTGCTGCCCACACAAGGTGCCTGAGGAGAGGGGCTGTCCGGGGCTCTGGCCTCCACCAGCAGGGAGGGAGCCGCTGCTTTTGAAAACCTTCCAAAGGACGAGGCCGTGTCCTGGCCTTACTCATCGGGCTGAATGTCTGCACTCGGCATCAGCCCTCAGGCTCCAACCCCAGGCCTGGTTCACCCTGCTCAGGGCTGCGGGCAGGTGACTTAGTCCGCCTCACTCAGCACTTCATTTCCCTGAATTTTCAGTGCTTTCCCCCATTCCTG